GAGAGAGCTGTTTGATGAAATGCCTGAGAGAGATGGGGGCTCTTGGAATGCATTGATCACAGCTTATGCACAAAATGGGTGTCCAGAGGAAGCATTGTGCTTGTACTCTGAGATGAATGAGGAGGGGGTTTTTGCGAATGAGATTACATTTGCCAGTGTTCTAGGGTCTTGCGGAGGTGTCTTGGAGCTTGGACTTTGTATGCAGGTCCATGGGATGGTTGTGAAGTATGGTCTTTGTGGAAACGTGATTTTATGTAGTTCGCTTGTGGATGTTTATGGAAAGTGTGGGTTTATTAGTGATGCGAGGCAAATGTTTGATGAGATTGAGAGTCCAAATGCTGTTTCCTGGAATGTGATTGTTAGGCGCTATCTTGAGATAGGAAATGGAAAAGAGGCAGTGGTTATGTTTTTTAGGATGTTTCGAACTGATATTAAGCCCTTGAAGTTCACGTTCTCTAATGCTCTTGTTGCTTGTTCCAGAGTGGCTGCACTTAATGAGGGGAGGCAAATTCATGGAGTTGTGGTTAAGATTAATTTCGAAGTTGATATGGTGGTTTCTAGCTCTCTTATTGACATGTATGTGAAATGTGGAAGATTAGAGAATGCCCGTAGAATTTTTTACCATTTGGGTTCAAAAGATTTGATTTCTTGGACTTCACTACTGTCAGGTTATGCAATGAATAGGAGAACAAGAGAAGCAAGGGAGCTCTTCAATGAGATGCCTGAACGGAATTTAATCTCATGGAATGCAATGCTGGCCGGGTATACTCGTTCCCTTGAATGGGAAGAGGCCTTGGAGTTCATTTTTCTGATGGGCAAAACAACTAGAGATATTGACCATGTCACTCTTAGGTTGATTTTAGTTGTATGTTCTGGCCTTTCAGATGTTTATATGGGGAAGCAGGTCCATGGTTTTATCTACAGACATGGTTACCATTCAAATATATCTGTGGGAAATGCCCTTCTTAACATGTATGGTAAATGTGGAAACTTGAGAAGTGCGAAAGTATGTTTTTACCAAATGAGTCAAGGGCGGGATATGGTTTCTTGGAATGCTTTGTTGACCAGCTATGCTCATCACCAACTTGGTGAACAAGCTATAACCTTTTTCAATGAGATGCAATGGGAGACAAGACCAAGTGAGTTTACATTTGGAACCCTCCTGGCAGCTTGTGCAAACACACTCGCACTTGAGCAAGGGAAACAGATCCATGGTTTCATGGTTAGAAATGGTTACAAGATAGATATTGTGGTAAGAGGAGCTTTGATTGACATGTACTCTAAATGTCGTTGCCTTGATTATGCCCTCCATGTCTTTAAAGAGGCAACTTCACATGATGTCATTCTTTGGAACTCAATGATTCTTGGATGTTGTCATAACAGAAGGGGCAGGGACGCACTTAAATTGATTGGATTGATGGAAAAAGAAGGTATAAAGCCAGACAATGTCACTTTTCAAGGTATTCTACTTGCATGTATGTACGAGGGTAACCATGAATTGGGCAAGCAGTATTTTGACTATATGAGCAGTAAGTACTGTGTTATCCCTCGGTTGGAGCACTATGACTATATGATTAAACTCTACATCCGGACAGGGAGCTTGCATGAGCTCAAGACATTTGTTAAGCGGATGCCTTTTGAACCAACTGTCCCAATGTTGACCAAAATCTATAATGCTTGTAAAAAGCATGGTGATTCAAGGTTTGGAGAATGGACTGCTAAACGACTTAATCAACTAAATCCTTCCTGTATGCACCAAGGTTTGACATAAAGACAAGACAACCAAATTATGCGGATAGCAAATTATTGGCCGAAGGAGCTACATTGTGGTCACCTATGAAGGGAGGCAAACAGCTACAACAGCAGTCTAAATTGTACCATTACAACTTTACAAGTGCAACATGGAATATAGTGCCTTGTTTGAGAACTCAACATGTGCTGGGAGAGATATGAGGCACTTCCTTCAAACTCCTGGACAAGCCACCGACAATTACTTGTGTTGCCTTGTGGAGGAAAGGAATCTAGCCAGAAACCAAAGGATGATAATAAGTTAACAACAGAACATTTTTGTAATGGTTACAGATTACAGAACATTATAATTTGACTGTGCTCAAATATAATGCATTGATTTTTTTTTTTTTTAAATATCCGAAATGGGCTATGCCTGCCATTCTTGGTAGAAATTTGTCTGGTATTTATGAAGTGATTTTCAAATACTCGTAAGATTAGATGATCAAAAATCTCTTATTGTTCATTTTTTAAAAAAATATAAAAGTAACATTCGAACTTATCTTAAAATTTGAACTTGATATTTTTTTTCTAAAAGAATAAACTCAATATTTTAATATAGATATTCACACCAAATGATATCAAGAAGTATTGTATTATAAAGTTATAATCAAAGTAATGAAAAATAATAAGAAAGAAGGTAAATATGTGCATGAGCTCTCTGTTCTATTATTTTCTAGCTCCGTCCTTGCATAAGATGTATGTTCATCCATCTATCTATAACTCGTCTTTTCATCCATAAGTTGTCTTTCCATTCAAACAAAAACCATTCATTAATCCATCAATCTGTTCGTCCATTTGTATTTATCAGTCCATGCTCAAGGCTATATGTTTGTCAATTCATTCATACATAATCCATCCCAATGTTTGTATGCCTCTTTATACATAAGTTGTCCATCTGTCTATTCATAATTGATGTGTCTGTTCATAAGTTGTTCATCAATTTGAACATAAGTTATTCTTTCATTCGTTCCATCTATTCATAATAAGTCAACAAATCCTTTCATACATAAAATGTCCATCCATACAAGAGTTGTCCCTTTGTCAATCATTGTACCTGTTCATAAAGAAATCGCATGTTCGTCTACCCATTCATCCCTTCATTCATACGTAAGTGCTAGTTAGTCCATCCATTCATATTCAAGCATCCATTTGTTCATTCCATTCTTTTTTCTTTTTTCTTTTTTCGATATTAACCTTGTATTCGGTAACTACATTAAATCTCGACTAATCTAGAATCAAGCTGCTTCGACTTCATTAGGGAGAATTTCTCCCAACGTTTATTTCTCCATTCACAAGACTTGAATTCAATACCTTACTTAAGTTGGACCAATAGGTTGTTGGTGTTCATCCCATTCATACATAAGTTGTTTGTCCATCAAAAGTCATTCTCTTCTTCCTTAGTCCACCCATACTTAAATTGGCCATCTGTTTGTTCGTCCGTCCATTCATACACAAGATGATTGTCACAAAAGCCATCTATTTATCCCTATGTCCGTTTGTCCATATTTCAGTTGTCAATCCTCAAGCCGGCCATTCCTTAATCCTTCAACCCTAAATAGATGGTGCATTCATCCACTCATACATAAACCATCCATATGTCCATATTTTATTTAAGATTACTGTAAAATATTAAAATTATGATTTTTTTTAGTATTTTATTAAAAAAAATTATATTATTATTTGATAGTTACTTTAAAAATATTCTTATACATTAATATAATTACTAAATTATATAAAATATTAATTAAAATTAATTTAATTAAAATAAATTAATATTTTAATGAAATATAATAATAAAGTAATCTCAATTGAGACCTCAATCTCTAAAAGAAAGCTGAAACCCCACTAAGATAACAAGAAGGCCTGTAGACCAGTGCCTGTAGACCAGGGGGACTTCTGTGGACCGTGGCTTTTGCATAACTCAAAATACTGAGTCCATGAGCTGTCCACCTCTTTCACCAAAAATTTTAAAAGCCTGTTTGGTCGAGTTTTTTTTGGA